TGACATCTGTTAATTGACCCTTTAGAAAATAATTCTCCATTTTATTGAGGCTCAACTGTGAAAATTGTGGCGAGTGGAAACATTCATCATGTGTTGAAAGCGTAGAAAGGCTATGGTCACTTCCAGCAGTTTTTGAATTCGATACTCCTTGATCCAAGCTAAAAACGAAGTTAAATGAATGTGTTGCAACACAGTTTTTGAAGGTTGACAAGATAGGACAACTCTTCCTTATAAACTATGGTACTGTCACAACAAACTTTCATACTGTCCTACACTCACATTCCCCTCCAAGGATATTCTCATTTAAAGAAATAGTTTTGTCTGAAGGATATAAAAGATTGGTGTAATGCCTCCTATTCCCATGAAGACAATAATACAAAGTGTGAAGCCACATCTGACGGCTTTTATGAGACCAATCAGTTGAGCAGTTGACTCACAGCTGATATTTCAATTCCTGACCCAAGAAGCACCCTATAGCAAGACATGCACAGGCTAGTGCAAATTCTAGTCTCCAAGCACAAGTACATTGGACACCAGCTTCACATAGAATTTATTAAAAGTGACTTCGATTAAGAGGGCTTTTCTTACAAAAGGCTACAAATAAACAGTTCATTTCAATGTTTATAGTAAGTTTATCATAATCATTCACAGTTGTGTGAAAGAAATGAGATGGGAAAATTATTTTGCTGAACTCTGCAGAATGTAAAGCGATGTGCTACCACTAGAGTACAGAATTGGAAATGCCCTGAAATCACTGTTATTGGAATAAAACTGGTACAAAATAAGAACATAAGATACTCCTAGACAACTTTGGAAAGAACTCTGGTTAAAACACCAGAATTATTGCACAAAAGATTTATTATTCAGGTAGATAAAGCACTTGTAATTTTTAGGAGAAATTATGAATCTCTCTTGTTGCAGAGTTGTACCATGGAATTCTTATTATCAATAATATTCTATACACTTTATACATGTAACCAAATTCCCTGCAACTACGTCAAATAATGAATAAATTAAATTCACCGTCACGAGATGCACATAATGGCCTTTTTTTTACTCAGCAGCTTCGCTCGTAGCAGTCTCTGACATATATTTTCTTTTAATCTATCCCTCTATACGCACCATATGAACTTCTCATTAGAAGTGGACTTTTGGACAATTTCTTTTCTAGGAAAATGAATCAACTATATATAGATGATAAAAAAAAAGAATGTTAGTATTATACAACTCATTGTTCAAATTATAGATAACTATATTAGTTTCTATATTTCACATGCAATTATGCAGCTTCATTCTCATTTGGTGTATCGTTTCTGTGTTTCATCAATTCGCTACGCTCGCCCTTAGTTTTGAAAAAGTCATAAAATAAATTCGATTTGTATAGAGACTATCTACCATGTATATCACTCATTTCATACCGCTGATCGTAGTACTCAGATGAACTTATGAAAATATAGACACATTGTTTACTAGATTTAATTAGAAGCTTTAAAAGTATAATGAGCTACTCATATGAGGACTGTATATAAACAAGATTGTGCTGTTTTATTAAACTTTAGAATATTGTTACATCATAATTTATAGCGAAATACCATTATATAACATAATTTGAGACTTCAAGAAAATATATAAATTAGTAGAGTAA